CGGCACCCCCTCCCTATTTACATTCAAATGAACATATCCAAGAACAATGGCACGTAGGGTACCAGATTACTGCTCATTAAGCGGAACACGCTAAAGTAACATGCAAGCTAGACCTTGTTAGTATTTAAAAAAAAAAAAAGAAAAGAAAAAGAAAAACCTCCCCCAGCCCAATGCCACCCAGCCCAGCCCCACCGATGGCCGCGGTCCGGGAGATGCGGGGGCAGGGGCGGGGGGCACGGCGAGGGGCGGCGGGGCTCGCCTTGGGACCACTTACCTTTGCCCAGTGCCGGCGAGACGCATCCAAGCAGCTCAGTGTGGCCACAGTCACATTTTGATAGCAAACATCTTCCTGAGCGTCAGATCGCGGTCTCGTACATTTAAAGCTGACATCACATGAAGTCACTTGGAGCAGAATGACACGGGGATGCCACCATGGATCTTCCCCGAGCCCAGGCGCCGGGCTGGAGCGCGGTGGGTTGGGGCAGAGAGAGGAAGAGGAGCTCCCCCCCCTCTCCACGCACAATTTCCTTCCAGTTTAAGACGCGCAAATCGCTCGTGTGCGAGCTGGGTTTTTTCCTCTCTCTCTCCCTTCTTAAAAAGCAACTTGCAAAGCAGAGGAATCGTTTTGCATGTGGCAAATTAGAAGGCAAGTGCGATTCACAAGTTGGGTGGAAAAGAGTGCTCCAGTTCTTGCTGGGGTTAGAAGAGCCACTCCGAGTGAGCGTGAGGATTTTTTTTTTCTTCTTCTTCTTTTTTTTTTTTTTTTTAAGAAGGGGGAGAATGAATTTTTTTTTCCTGAAAGCAACTACCACGCAACCATGCTCGAGTTATTTTGGCAACCCATCTGCAATCAGCTCCGTTGCAACCGAGCTGGAAGATAATTAATAAATTGTCACTTATCTGCGAGCCTCCCCAGCATGTATAAATTAATAGCCAACCCATTAATTAGGACAGTGTATTAATGTTAATTAAACTAAGTTTAATTCCACCCCCCTCCCCTTTCAGGGTAGCTGGTGATTAGCCTTAAATAAACGCGGAGGGAGTACAGTCCAGGGCTGGGTTTTCACTGTTTAAAGGGGGAAAAAAAATAAAAATAATAATAATAAAAAAGGAACCGTGCGCTGCGAACGGGAGTTTTGCAAATTGCCACCCCCTGAAAGGTGCCCGCTTCCCCGGGGGGCAGCCGGGTGCCTCTCCCTTTCCTTTCTAGCCCTGGTGGTGCCTCCCCCGCCTTGCTCCCCCCCCCGCCCCCCTCCCCAAAATAGGCGACGCTACATTTTAGCGCCTGGACGCCGGGGTTTCTTCCCTTCCTCTCTCTAATTAAAACGACTTGGTGCGGGAGGGGAGGATTTGCAGAGACCCCAGATGCGAGGACGCGGTAATTGAGAGAGTCCCGTGCCCACCTGGTTTTCACTGTTTAAAGGGGGAAAAAAAATAAAAATAATAATAATAAAAAAGGAACCGTGCGCTGCGAACGGGAGTTTTGCAAATTGCCACCCCCTGAAAGGTGCCCGCTTCCCCGGGGGGCAGCCGGGTGCCTCTCCCTTTCCTTTCTAGCCCTGGTGGTGCCTCCCCCGCCTTGCTCCCCCCCCCGCCCCCCTCCCCAAAATAGGCGAAGCTACATTTTAGCGCCTGGACGCCGGGGTTTCTTC